CCCCCCCCCCCCTCGCAGATTTGGACCCCCTACCAAACTGTCCTTTTAAGCATCGTTTGTAACTATTCTATTTGCATAGTATTTACTTAGCAATGACCTACCGGTACATACCTTTAGCGAAAAGCGCTCGATTCCAAGTTTCCCACATACCTGAGCTTATACTGCCTATAAACAGAAAACCACCTCTCATATCAGTAAGTAAGTAATGACTTGTTTAACGGCACTGTTAAAAAAGACTGTTTTAATTTGTAGTCCGTGCTCGGCTTAAGAGAGAAAAAAATCTTTTAGACACATGATCGAGAAAAAGAAATCAATGTAATTGTAACTGTAATTGTAACAATGTAAGTGGTAACTTAGTGTCCAGCACCTATTTTAGGTTATTATAAATCGACTCGACCGGACTTTAATCATACAGAAAAAAACTAAAAGGACTATAAGGTTAACTTATTTTTAATCATTAGGAATATAACAAGTAACACAAACGCAACTGGATGTAGATTTTAGTGTGCGTTCTCGACTTATGAACAATAGAAAAAGTCTCAATGTAACAGTAGTGGGTGGAGCAACAGAATTTCGTTGTGGAACACGAACGGTAGATTCCCGATTTTTCGAGCCTTTACGGGAAATGAAAATCAGTTGGAGTAATTGGGTTGACTGGGGGAAGGGGAACGACTTTTGGTTCGAGTTATCGAGAGTTACGACAAATCGAGGACCCGAGCGATCGGGATTCCACTTAAGTGAAAATAAGTAAAGCTTTGACGCCTTTCACACTTACTGTGAAAATCAAACGTTATCAAGTTTCACAACTCATGTTTATTCCAAAGTTTAGCGCTTTCGCTCGGGTTAACGAAAATCCTAAGTTGTGACGGGATGCTGAGAACAAGACTGAACATCAATACGCATGTTTTAATAAAAACATACTTAACTAAGCGCTGGAACGTAAAGTATTATCTATTACTTCTAGAACGTTAAGGATGATGTCTTCACTCAGTTTTGTTGGGGGGTCCAAATTTAGGGTGGTCTAAATCCATCGACATAGCCTTGAAAGGGATGACATAAAGTTTTGGGGCAAAAAAAAAAAAAACACCCAGTGGGGCCTGCGCTCCATCATGTCACGCAGACTCATTTTGAGATACTTCGGTATTATCAACTGAGTTGATGACATAAATTAGCCACCGTTAAAATTTTCACAGCTGACGTTTCGAGCGTTAGCCCTTCCTCAGAGCAAAATATCACTTCAATATTCGCTCTAACGAAGGGTTAACGCTCGAAACGTCAGCTTTGAAAATCTTAACGGTCGCCAATTTACGTTATCACTTTGTTGATAACACAAAATTTCCTTTTTATACCCTTCTGCCGACGCAGCACCACAGTTTCTTAGCCCCTTTATTCATTGGACTTTATTTCAGCTTGTCACGCGACATTTGTAATAACAATTAACTATTATAATTTTTTAATCTCATTTAATTTTTTCATGTTTCAAAACTTTTCTTTCCGATCCGTGATCCAAACCGTGATTCGGTCCGATCCTGGTTTTGTCGACACCCTTAAAAGGGAGAGGTTTGAGCCATTTCACAGACACTTAACTGACAACTGACAAATTGCCCAAAATTTAACTGACAAGTAGACAAAATTTTAACTGACAACTGACATTTGCAGCCCCCACCCCTTATCGAGGCCTTCATGGTTTAATCAACGGGCTTTTATCTCAAAATTCATCTATCCCTACGACAACGCATACTCATGAACGGTCACCTACTCTGAACTCAAGTAATGTGAACCTATAGCGATTTGGGTACGGCGGAATTCGTATATCATCTAACCCAAGCGACTTGGGTACGGCGGAATGCGTAGAACATCTAACCCAAGCGATTTGGGTACGGCGGAATTCGTATAACATCTAACCCGAGCGATTTGGTTACGGCGGAATGCGTAGGACATCTAACCCAAGCGATTTGGGTAAGGCGGAATTCGTATAACATCTAACCCGAGGGCTCTCCACGAACCTTTTGGCAGGAATTGGCGGCCTTTAACTCCACTCATTTTTGAACAAACCTCGAACCATTTACATCTCCATTCCTTTGTACGTGAACCTCGAATAGGGTACATGAGCGTTGGATGTATGTTGAATTTCTTGGCATTTACAGCAAAACAACAGCGTTTTACTATCAGTGGATTTGTTCGGATGGGATCACCAACTGACCTACCTTGGGAAAAACTTATACAAAGAGGGCCGAGTAATCTCATGAGATTCAAAGGAACAAATTCTAAAGCAAGATAAGGTTTTTGTTCAAAACTAGGCTCAAAATGTTGGGTTAAGAATGCGTCGAGCTTCCATTCCCATACAAATGCTATGGTAAATCCTCAAACTGTGCGACATAACTTAATATTTACAATCATTTTACTTAAGATTATATTGTGGATAAAGAAGGAGAACTAAGAAAGACCCAGGCATTCTTAAATCCGCCTAGAAAACTCATAAGATGCAATCGACCAACCATAGCTGTAAGTTAATTTTTTTTTTTGTACAAAACTAAAATTTTAAGGGAAGGATGCGACCTTTTTATCCCCACTAGTCAACCATAGCGCAACATTAAAAATGTTTGCATATCTTTGAAGGTTCGTCGTGCGAGCCTGGGCTACTTGTGATTCAACAGAATGAGACTCGGTCAGTTTACTGTGTACTGGCTTCTTTCACCTACGATCTGCAGCGCACGCACAAAAGCTTTCCCGGAAGACACCCGTGAAAGTTTGGAGGAACCTTGAAAAATACTGTGGCATTGTCTCGCCTTCTCAACCGGAGATGATGAGATTTAGACATTAATAAGCGAGGAGACCCCCATATATAGCGCTGCAGCACCAGCTTGTCTTCGCCCGCAAGGAAGTTTGAGGATTCAAGCAATGCGGGCTGCGAGAGAGTTTCGCGGGCTCTGGCACAAGTGATCATTGCTAGATCTATTATTCACTTCCGGGATTTGGAAGGGAGGAGAGGGACTGGTGGCAAGTTAATTTGCCTCCGTTGCATTTTGGCGCTTAAAGTAGCACAATATCTCTCTCCCTCTTCCTAGCATCGATAAGGTTCGGCTCTTTCTTCGAAACTGAGGTCTTCAGGGTAAGTGTTAAGCTCACCACTTTTGTATTGTAATAATTTTTACGTTTTTTTTTTTGTTGATCACAATCGTTCTTTCTTATCCCTCCCGAGAATAGCGCAGTGAAACGATGCTTACGGCGCGCTCGATTCCAATGCCTGATTATTTGTGTTTATTTGATTTATTAATCTAACGTCTTCTTAAAATACTTCATATGCGCGGTTCGACATTTGAAATGTAAATATTTAAAAAAGCGATTTCTAGCAAGAAGGATGCAGCGCCTTGAAGGGCAAGATTTCCGCACAGCACCATGATTCTGCGTTTTTTCTTTGGGACTACTTTACGACCATGTGTTAGAGTATTCTGGGCTTATGCAAAAATCTTTCCTCTTTCGTACACATTCAACGAACGCTAAGGCGAGATGTTGTCTTCGAGCATATTCTACGTCAAAAGAGCTTTGCCAGCGTTATAACTTACGGTTCGGCTTAATTATTGTGCTAATTCAAGTGAATGATCAATTTTCAGTTCCCTGGGTTGAAGCTAATCTGTCGTCAGCTAAGAGATTTTTTGAGTCTGTCATATCAGCCCATTAAGCTAACATGATATCCTGGCCATGTGACTGGGAATTCCTAAGGTGAGACCTGACGAAATCTACCTTAACTCAGCTAGGATCCTGGAATAGAATTTGTCTGAAATCGTGAGGCTATCACATAAATATCTGACCTTCAAAATGCTCTTGCGTGAAGAAGTTTTTATTTTCGTATTTTAAACAATATCTCCCCTGCGTTGATTTAATTGTTTTAAATCACATACATATTATAACACTCTAAGGAGCTAGACATTAAGTGTTATAGTCTACTGACAAAAGAAATACTTCTTTACCTTTTAGATATGTGTTTAAGTAATGATAATAATAATGACAATCAAAACTATAACAAAATTCTCAAACGTAATTGGTTAGCACCAGTCTGATTTGAGTTCTAATAAGACAGTGTACATGTCATGCCTGTGTTTGTGTCACGTGTGTGATGTTGTTGCTCTTTTTGCTGAGTTATCTGTTGTTTTCTATGAAAATGTATTACCAATGGTTAGTTTGTTTCTGGACTGTTGTCATAATTTTGATTAACTGGTAACAGGACTTCATGTTGTCCAATTCTGTCTGTAATCATACTTGTGATTTACAACTTTGACAAGGGCTTCAAGTTTGTCACTGATTTTTTTAATCACTTTCACCACTACAGACTGAATTGAACCCACTCAGTCCTATCATCATTACTTGTAGTAATAACCAAAGAAATAATTTTTTTGCTCAGTTTCTAAAACAGGAAGTTGCTGTATTTACTTGAATAAGGGCAGCTGTTGCTTCCCCCTTTCTCCCCCCTTCACAATTAAACACCTCTCTTGATTAAGCTCTTATGCAATAGAAAGGTTTGCCTCCGTTTTTTCCTTCTACACAGAATGATGGTGCTCTCCTCATTTATGTTAAATTTTATTTGATTTTCTTAATGCAAGCAGATTGAATGGGAAGCTTTTGAAAACAAAAAAAAACTCTTAAAACAAGTAAGCAAATATTACAAATAAACACAGTGTACATAATTGTTAGAGAAAATTTTCAAAAAATTTTCTTTTAATTGTAGTGAATTGGAAACTGACAACAGGCAGACTGCTCGTCGAAAAAGACAGGGAGGTACATTAACATGTATCTACATGTATTGTTATAAAGCCTTGAACTTTTGTAGTTGGGTTGATTCCTGGGTTTCGTGTTAGTTTTCATAAGCAGCACTTTGACTCCTGTGTATGTTACATGTAGGACCTTGTGACACCAAAATTTCAACATTTCCTAGATTTAGTTGTACTTGTGAATGTGGAGACAATAGTCTTGATCACATTTTGTAAGATTTTCTTTAAGAAAAAGCATAATTAGGCCTTACAGAGTTTTAAATGTATGACATGATCATTTTTTTATTATTAATGGGGTTAAAAGAAATTTTGAGGAGTTAACACTCAAGGCAATGTAATCTGACTGGCAATCCTTCACATAAATTAATAACAATCAAGGCCATGGAGGTTTCTCAATTATCAGCCATTTCACCGGTGGCATTTCCCACATCCTCCCAGTTAAAGACTTGTTAAATGCTCTTTCATGTGGTCAAATCAACCCAGTCTGAATTCATTCTAACCTAAAATTTCTCCTGTAACAGGTACTACATTGATTGTTTGTCTGAAAGTTTAGTTTCTGTTGTGCTTAGTGTGTCTGGACTCTAGTGATTCAGAGAGCTCAAGTTCAGAGACAGATGACTCAGATTCTGAATCTGATGGGAGCTCAGACACAGACACAGACAGTGACACAGAGGGAGAGAACTTTTGTGCTATAGAGAAAAAACCTGTTAGAGCCAAACAAAAAGGTAGAACAATGTATATTTACATGTGTACAGTGTACATGTTGCTTAAAAAGGCACGTCATCATCACAATCAGTTTTTTTGAGCCTGCATCACAATCCAATTGTTCTTTAACTACACTCAGAGGCATTTTGAAAGCAACAGATTAACGCCAATTTATTTTTCTTTAATATTTCTTAATTTTGGTAGGGTTTTGGTGTAAATTTCATTGTAGATTTCTGAGTTTAAAATGTTATTGAAATCAGTATTGTATGCATTAAGTCAATAGGTTGTTGCTGCTGGCTAAGTCTATTTTTAAGCAACAGACATACATGTTAAGAGTGTCTGTTGCTAAGAGCTGCAGATAAAACCTCACCATTTTGGAAATTTAGCCTGAAGATAGAAAGGGAACAAACTGGTGTAAGGCTAGGCATGTTTGTGCTACATGTGCTCATAGTTTCCTGCTGTCCTAAACTGAGACCCATGTCAAAGATATGCTCTTAGAGCTCTGATATATGCTCTCAAAAACTTTCAAAAGCAAGTTTTATATTATATGTACAATGACATAAGTTAGTTGCCTCACCTCTGGTACCAGGGCTACATAAGAACATTGTCATGCTTTTGTGGCTAGTTAATGCATAGTGCTGATTTCCAGATTTTATTTCAGAATTGACTTCCAATACAATTGAAAAATACTTTGAATTGTCCAATTTTCATTTGCACAATTTGATGCTAAAAAACAAGAGTGGGGTTGAGAACTTGCCTTTCTTAGTAATAATTTGTTATGCTAACATTGCTGGGTTTCTAGCTTTAACCCTCAAACAACTGTGAAATGGACTATTCAGCGAGCCTTACTAGACCATTGGTGAGGTGAACCAATTTTGTTTTCTTTTTTAAGTATGAGATATTGTAAGCACTGACTTCTTGTGAACCTTATCTATTCAAGTTTCCAAGAACACCACCACCAAAAAGCAGACTGCTAAAGCTTCCAACACAACAAGTAAAAAGGAGAAGAATGAAAAAGGCAACAATCTTTGATACATCACTTATGGCTTGTTCCAGGCTCAGATGGTCGGTGGAGACAAAAAGAGAACACTGAAGGCTGTTATTTACCTGCTTACTTTCCTCATGCACTGACCAAGAGCCTGGAAAAGGCTAGTTCCTTTTTTAAAAATTATGATCATTAAATACTGAAGTACTTCAATGGAATAAATCTTTAGAAAAGTTATTTTCTTTGTTCATTGCATGTGGGCTTAGGAAGAATTAATTGCAGCTTCAATATGGAACACCAACTGACTTAGTTCAGTAATAGCACATATCTAAATTATAAGTGCATGCATGCCTGTTCTTGGATTAATGTTCTACATCATGAAGGAACAGTTTATTGGAGTTATGACATTTGACTAACAAGCAAAATGTTAGCATTCTTGTGTAAAGAGCTCATTAAGAAAACACCAAGATAATATAAATGATAATGAGAGGAGCAGTTTCTTAAGTTACGAGTTGTTTCTGTTATTGTTTTTTTCTTTCTTACCTAGTTTGATGTTCTGTTTTTATGTTCTGCTGTCTGCCATTTTATAATTATGCTACTTTTTTTTCTAAGGTGCATCCCACAAAATTCCTGCCAAAAAAAAAAGAACTCAACCTAATAAGAGAAAGAGTAGCAAGGAGAATACAGGGAAAGGTAACATAGTGATAAAAAACAACATCATTATATAACTTCAAATCAGATTAAATCCTTGTACAGGATCTTGTTCTATATGATAATGTTGCTTCCAGATTCTTTAAAAAGCAAATGGGGGGTGGGGGTGGGGGGGTAGTTGTAAGACAGGAACTAGTTGTTAACAAGTCATCAACAGCATATAGGAGAAATCTTTAGCAGACATGTTTTGCTGACTTAATGTTGCATTATATTAGAGACAAAGTATAGCAAATGATGTATGGGTAATTGACTTTTGGTTTATTTGTTTGTTCTTTTTTTTCTTCTCCTCCTTGAGTAATCCACTAACTTTAGAGGTTTTAATGTTATATTATTGTCTACTTACTCTGCTCTTTCTGACACTTCTGAATTTAAAATCCAGGTACATCTATGGAAACAGCCAAAAATAAAAAAGGGAAGGTTAGTAAACCAAGACACAGCAAAAAGAAGGGTAAGTAACCGAACACTAACTAAGTAAGGGAAGGGAAAACTTAAAACTTTTTGAACAAAATTTGTCAAATCACAGCTATTTTGTTGAATATCAAGAAAGTAAAAATACGGCAACTTACTGGCTTGTGTGATTGAATATTATCCCTGAGAGATAACTTGGTTCTGACAGCCAGCTAATGTGATCTTGTGAGTAGATAGGCCATAAAGATGGTTGATTTCATTTGTTATATAGTGGAAATGAAGTCTAGAGTGATTAAATTTTTATCATCGGAGCTTGACTTTACCAGTTATTCAGGGGCTAGCTGGTCAGGTAAGCCTTTTTTGTAGTTAAACAGGGCAAACCAAATATGAAGGAGTTAGAAGGATTGGGCAGAGATATTGGTGACAAATGGAAAATTCTGGGAAGACGCTTAAAAGTATCAGAAGAACTGGAAATAATCGATGCACGATATAATATTCTTTCTGAAAAAGCCTTCCAGATGCTTAAACACTGGACCCAGAAAAGAGGTTCCTCTGCAACCTACAGAGTTCTAAGTGGTGCCTTAAAAGATGAACTTTTAGAACGTAAAGACTTATCAGAAAAGTACTGTTATGGTTGATAGTTGACATAACAATTCTTTTCCTGTCTTTTAACTCAGATATGCTGGGGAATGAGAAGTTTTAGTATACCCTTTCTCCACTCTGTTTTCTTGTTCTTTGATTTACACATGTTTCTTTCTTGGAGAGATTTAAAAAACTCATCCAAATTCATGACAGTTCTTTGCACAACCAAAACAGCTGCTCAAGAGTCAGAGTTGTGTAATAGCAAACCAAGTACAGTCAGCAAGAGTGTTGTTTCGTGGTCAGATCTCAAAGTATAATTTGAGACATTCAAATTGATCACTCAGTTTACAGATGGCAATTATTTTCAAAAGAACAGACTGAAGCAGAAAAAAGCAATTTGCTGATTTTTTTTTTTCCATTCTTTGGGTATTGTCTGGTTGGTAGGTCACTGAAATTTTAGTCTTTTTTAACTTCATTTTTAATTTGTTAGAACAGCGTTTTTGACTCTTTCTCATGCTAAGCATTAGTAAATTGAGATCATCAGTTATACTAAACAGGTTAATTGGTATGAAAAGCTTGTAGGTTGATTTTAACCAAAATAAATATAATTATTCAAGTCATTATTACATTTTTACTGATGAATTGTTGTAATTTATGAAACTACACAGAATTTTATTTTTTTAACACCCTGTTGTTAGTGTGCTAATGGAGAATTCCTCCAAAAAAGTGTTACAAAAATATTTGGTAAGGATGGCAGTAATTTTTTTTCTTCATGTTAAGCCCTAAATTTCGTCCGTTAAAGCTATAGAAGGTTGTATAGGATTATTTGGATTGTATAGATCAAGACAAATGAGAAGAAAGTAATATTGCAAACCGTTTAAAATATGAAAATATGAATTTGCTGTTAAATTACTGCTCTTAGATGCCCAGCATTGTAAAATGTAAATTGAAATTATCTGTAATAAAATATGCTTAACTCATTGAATCTCACAGCAAGCAATGTTGTTGTTATTTAACATTAAGCAGAAATTCGTGCATCCTTGAGGGTAACCTGATTGTTAGATTTCACAAGAAATTTCTTCGAGTGAGCCTGTTGAAGGCAGTCAGTTTTTCACCAGTTTCCACCTGTGAAAACCCAGAACAGACTTGGTTGACTAAACCACATAAAACAGCAGCTTTTTCTTTATTTATTATTGTTATCATCATCATCATCATCACCATCATCTTCATCACCACCATGATTATTATCATTATCATCATTGTTATCATCATCATTATCATCATTACTTTTATTATTATCATTATTATTATTATTGTTATCGTTATTATTATTATTACTATTATTATCATCATTATTTTCATTATTACTATCATCCTTATTATTATCATCATTATTATTATTTTCGGTATTCTTATTATTATTATTATTATTATTATTATTACAATTACTATCAAGAAGAAGATCCTAAAGTAAAAAAGTGGGCATTGTTCGACATGTAACGAAAGCCATCCAGTAACAAGCTTATTTGTGTTTCTCAAATACCAGCTGTTATGAAATTATAAGATCCTCGCAGCTAAGAACACTACTGAAACGAGTAGTTGTAAATAGGACCTGAAAAAAATTCAGGCCCGCTTGTTAGCTCAATTGGTAGAGCGCTGCACCGGTATCGCAGAGGTCATGGGTTCAAATCCCGTACGGGCCTGAATTTTTTTCAGGTCCTATTTACAACTACTCGTTTCAGTAGTGTTCTTAGCTGCGAGGATCTTATAATTTCATCTCTCCACCGCAGTGCAAATATGTGAATTTTCATATATCTAAAACCAGCTGTTATATTTCTTGAATTTTTCTTCATCACAGTGCTTCAGGGTACTTCAATGTTTATAGCGATTGCGATGTTAGAAATGCAATCGAATATTTTCCCATTTTTCTAAAATATATGTAATAAATTAAACTTAACTGAATACCTTTGACTTCAAGTGTCTATTGGAAATTGCAAAAACGCTACTTCACGCGACTTTAAACGACACGTTCGTCGGGAATATATCGTCTCAGTTGTTTCCCTGTAAAGCAGTAGATTTTCTACAGATCGTTCTTCAGTGAGAGAGAAATATGTTTACCCTTTACGGAAAGCTTTAGGGACAGCTGTTATCTTAGCAATGTGCATGACGCATGTTCTTTACTAACTTTCTCCGTAATCTTACTCAGTGGTCGAATAATTCGAGAGGAATGCCTTAAAATGGGAACTTTGGGTTACTCATTTTAAATTAGGCAAAAACAAGTTGAAAACCGTGAACTGAAAAAAGGAGTATAGAGTTGAAAGAAAGATTTCCTCTAAACCCTACCTAGATCACTGACTTTAGAACTATTTTTAGCAGAGAAGCGCTGCTGTAAAAAAAACTAATTGAAAGAGACCATCTGTCAGTAGCAGTTTTCCACCAAACATTGTGCATAAGATAGTTCTTAGCTAAAAATTGTTACACTCAGGTAAAAATGTTGTTCCTGTTTTTTAAAAGAATTTGTTAGTTAGCCAGGTGATAACCAATGAAATCAGTCCTTCCCTAACTGTACAATTTTTTTTTTAAAAACAGATGTTTGTGACTTTTATTGTTATGAAGCTTGAAAGATGGAACTTGATGCTGTCTGTACAAGCCTTCGTTTTTTCAAGTGTGCATTATTCTATTTATGGTTATTTCCAGTGCTAGATGTCTTGTACAAATCTCCTGCAGTTGAACTTCTTCAAAAGCTTTGTAGATAGCATTTAAGTCTTGTAATTATTTAAAAAATTTTTATTCAGTATTTTTATCCATTGATTTATTAATCTATAAAGTCATTTTTTACACAGTTCTTTCTAGCACTTAGCTTTGACTTTGTTAGTTTAATAAGTTTTTGTTTGATTAATTCACACGATGCTTTTTCATTTTCATTGTCTTTTGCCGGTAGGCATAATCCAGTTACCAGATCTTCTCACTCATAATCTGGGCAAATAAGTCTGCAACGATCTAGGTATGTTATTATAGCGCGCACGTTTCACAAATTCG